ATATACACACACACACACACACACAGGAACATAGAATTCAGAAAAACTAAGCAAATAAATGAGAACTCATTTGAAACTGAATTAATTGGCGCAAACCTCTGAGTTGGATTGTCTGTAGTGGTTATGGCATTTTCAAGATGCAGAATGGATTCAGTATTGATGGAGAAAGCAGCGGAGGTGGGTGTCAAATGACAGGTTGCAGACGGGATTTTGATGCAGTTCAGTATCGACAGGAGCAACGCGGAAGGGCAGAAGGATGGCTGAGAAAGCAAATCACACAAACTCAAAATTTCCTTTTTCTTTCATCCTTACCTCAGCTCTGTTTACCTAAAGGCAGTCATTTTAAAGGCTTCTTACTGTGAAAATGCAAAACCTTAAATATATTTGACTTCAAAGAATGTATTTTTGGAGCTTTGTCAGGAGTTCATTTTATGGTGTTTTGGAAATAATGTTGAAAATTTGACTTTTTTTATTCATAGGTTTGTTTTTGATATATTTTATTAACAAATGTTAATTTGGTGTGTCATTATCTATCAAAACTGTTTGGTTTTAAATGAACAAATATGTATAATCAACAAAGGTACAAGAGAACCAGCGCTGCTGTCAAAAAATTAAAAGACACTGAATTTAATAGGATTAACACAACAAGACATATCCCAGCAGGCACTTTTTGAATTCATCTCCAGGTAATTAAAAATGTTGAACTTAATATTCAAGCTCAAGATGTTATTCACTGAAATGATAATGACTACACATGATGACACAAAGTAATTTCATTCTCATTTTTTATTTTCAAATATACAACCTCAAATGCACATATCCCATTTCACTAAAAGATTTCTTTCTCAAAATATACTGTTTTTCCTTCCGCTATGTTGTACATTAGAGTGCCTTTTACTTTCTGAAAACCAAAAACATCCACACTGGAAAACCGTATGCACAACCAAATGTACTGCAGTAAGTCTTTATGTCGTTTTTGGAGACTTTCTTTAAACGCTGGTTATCAGTAAGTTGAAATTAATATTTTAAATTAGCCAGGATTCTCCACATTAGAGCCATTCCTTTGTAAATTAATCTACTTCAGAAACCGAACAAATTACAATTCATGGCTTAAAGATGAGCTAGGTAATTTGAATAAGGAAGCTAAAAGAAAAATAGATCCTTCAGGTCTCAGAACAGACACATTTCACCCAGTTACACTTTGCTTAGATTTTAGGCTTTTGGACAAACAATATATTTTCTCAATTTCCTTCTCACAGTGCAAAGGCAAAAAACACACTTTGAAACTAAAGAAGTAGTCCACCTCATAAAGCAGACTGGCAATAATTTTCACCTGTTTCTGCAAAGGTGAAATATTGTGCCATGTCCACTAGATGGCAGCAGAAACCGTTTTTAACGTACCCTGTAATGTAATTCAAAGCGGTAAATCAACACCAAGTGGAATTAATTTACAACTGAAAATTGACCAAAAGCTCTCAAAGTGAAATCAGTGATTTATCAGAGAAAGATATATGAATGATGGAGTGTTGTTATGATGCCTCCTAAAACAGAGGCAGATACGGAAGGAATAGCAGGAGCTGACATAGCATTTCATAGACCTAAGAAAAAGTAGAAAGTTTGTAGGTAAAGAAATGTTTGCAATATGTAAATGTGAGAGTTATGACAACAAATGGATGTGTACAAACAGCAAATAAAATATTATGAATAACAGAACCAGTATGTTAAATCAGTTCTTTTGAACTACCATACATTTATGATCCCTTTAGAATGGAAGAAGTCAGACTTGCAAAAAATTCCCAGTCACATATGTATAAATAAATGCAGCAGAAATCTGCTGTCACAGGTTCTCTTCTTTAGAGAAACCTTTTGAACTATTTGTGATGTAAAAACACATAAAACTAGTTAACATAAAGGAAAGATAATGTGTTATTTTTGTCCTATAGAAAGTTTTCTTTTTCTATCATCCTTAGAAGAATGTGATGTTCCCCTGCTGCTACATGTTCTCAACACTGCTGATAAATAATACTGATGAAAGAAGATAAAACAAGGATGCAAACCTGATGACTATTCTGTTTTCAGAGCCTGCCACATATTGGTTGATTGTTGTTAATACAACAAAGAAGACAGAATACATGTTAATTTTCACCAATAACACTGAAAAACAACCCATTCTCGTTTCTTTTTTCTAAGTCCTCTCAGTCAGGTGTCACATCAAAATAAAAGGTGTAATAAAGAGACTGTTTCCCATGAATTAACAGGTGTTTTTTTTTTCCATCTTGGATACTCCGATGGCAACAAGGAGCAGCAGCAATAGCAGTCTGTAAACCTGTGTTTCACTTTACAGTTTGCAGCTCCAAAGTGATGTGGGGAACAAAATATAGGAGCAGGACCAGAGCAGGTAGTACACGCACGCAGGGGGGAAGGGAGAACAGAACACCATCGCAACTCCTGAAACAGAGAAGGTAAAGGAAAATGAGAAATTGAATGTCAGAAATTCTATCTATTCATTTAACCTTCTGTCTGTCTGAAACAGATTAAACAAAATAGCCTTTAATAATTTAACATTAGTAATTTAGATAGATAACTAGGTAGCTAGATAGATAGACAGACATATTGTTAATTTGAATGTTTGTTGCACTCCCTAAGTTTTGTTGCCCTGGGCAGTGAGCCACACTGTCAAGTCCAAAATGGACTAATATGGTCAAATTTCCACAAGTCTGCAAGCATTTTATTTTTTTCTTTTCTTTTTTTTTTTTTTACTTTTTTGGAGCTGTTATAGTTTTTAAATGAGTTTACCTCCAGCGTACACTACTTTCTTCCAAGTTTGAGACTCCAGGATTTTGTCGTGGGGATAGAAGTTCTGACTGATCATAAATAGGATCATGGCCACTGCGAGGACCCGCAGCACACTCAGGTTTCCTCCTGACAGCAAAGAGGCACTGGCTAGGATGGCTGATGAGTAGATACAGGGGAGTCCGCGATACACAAATGGAATACCTGATCCAAAACCAAAGTGTGTTTTGATTAAGAACTCTGAACTTGATTAGACTCTAGTGTACTGTAAACATTTGATTATCGTAACTCACCGCTTGAGAAGAAACAGAGACGGACAAACACAGACAGCACATAGCACATGCACAGGACGTTGTCCAGCAAGTCGGAAGTCCTCAGCAGCAGAGATGTGGCGATCCCAAAAGTGGTGAAGTCAGCAAAATCATCCAGCTTTGCACCTAGACATGAAAAACAAAACACCAGAACTGCTGACACCTGGACTTCACTTACAGTTTTTCTCAATTTCTTTGTTGATTTAGATTTCAATATAAATGTAACATTCAGATTTAGATTGAATATTTAAATTTAGATTTAATAGGTTTAGATTTACCATTTAGATTTTTCAAAATTTCATAAAATGGTAAAATATAACAGATTTTAGACACTTCTATTTTAAATGTAATAAAAGTGATAAAGGTTATTTAAATATCACTAAACTCTCTTCTAAATCTTTTGGATTCATATTTTGACACTAGGCGCCCCCGACCTTTTGGACATGCATCAATTGATTCCATCTAATTATTTGCTGTTTCACAACATTATTTGCTTATGTCATGAAATACACTTTCAGACAAGTATATTTCATTCCCTATAAAACAAAAATTCCTCATTCCATCATGCAATTTCTGACATAAAATTTCTACAAAATACTCTGACGTTTGCGGTTGTAATATGAGAAACAGTGTTTCAAGTGGAATAAATATTTTTGCAAGGCACTTGAGCTACTTTTTCAGCTCTTCAGGGTGAAGATGGATAACATTCCTGCCATGTGATAGTAATGTGTTGCATGCAAAAATCTGAAACTGGAAACATCAGTGTCAGCCCAACAAACAGCTGTTCAATAAACAACATTCTCTGCTTGCTTGTCTTTTTATCCCTCAGGAGCCCATAGTATGTTTTCAGCGGATGACGATGAGGTGATTCAGCCTGTAGCCCTCGAATGAACGGGTTGGAATCCCGCAGCCGGGGGTCAACAATTTTAGCAATTTCAGAAATGCGGAGAAGCCAAAGCAACAGGATAAAACAGACAATTGGAACTGGATGCCATAGACTTAGGCTGCTTAATCGGAAAGTGATTGTTCACTTTCCAAAAACAACAATGTGAAACCTGCAAAGTCATGCAGAAAACGGCTTGTTGAGACATAAAGCGGCTAACAATGATGCACCTGGGAGCTATTTTAAGTTTTGGGGATAATATTGACACAATTCAGGTGCAGGTGTTATTTATATTGCAAGTTAGCATTTACAACATTTATTCAAAAAATTCGAATTTTTGAATTATAAATGTGCATTTACATCTATTTCAAACACTTAGAACTTATTTATCCAAAAGAGCAGAGAGGTTTTCAAAAGAGTTCAAATGACATTATATAAAATATACATGATTCTAATCTTGGAAGCTCTGTAAGAGTAACCAGAGGTTTTCACAAGCAGAGTTTCCTTTCACCGAATCCCTTTGTGAGGCCAAATTTAAAAAAAAGTGCAGACAAAAGACTGCAACAGACACTGCCAACAGCCCTACTGAAGTTAATCTTTGGTAAAAGTTTATTGACCACAAGCTTCCACTTACCCAGTGCCGAGCAGGCATTGAGTCGCCTGGCAACCGCTCCATCTGCCAAATCTAGCAGGTACCCAATCAGAACCAGCCAACACGCCGCATGATGGTGCCTGAACAAAACAAGTGAGAGTGAAGTTCTTCTATTTGTTGACAAAAAGCTTTTTTTCTAGAGGTAAAATGTATGCCAAGTCTGAAAAGCTAATTCTGTTTATGTAGGCAAAATGTTGTTGATGAATGTGGTGAAGACAATTTACTTGCAAAGTGCTCCAAGGTCTAAAGTTTTTTTTTTCTGTCTTGCTGCAGAGCAAATGTGGAAAAAGTGCAGAGATTTTACTATTTAGTTTACATGTCAGGTGGAAAACTAGCACTGAAAATCACCCAGATCAACATGATGCTATCACCAATGTAAAAACATCGGTGATAGCATCATGCTGTGGCAGTAACTTTCATTTCCAGTTAGGATGTAGTGTTTTGTTTTTGGGTATTTTTGGCCATATCAAAATTGGTTTATTTTCCAAAACTGCAATGAAAACACTTGTTTTGTATCACATACGTCACTTGATGAACAACCAGATATTACCATTGGCACAAACCATGAAGATGAGGACAACAGGACGTATTTGGAGAATCATGGAGTTGCTGATTTCTTAATGATTTATTGCATGAAAAAATTTATTCAGATTGGATTTTAGTTTAAGTTCTTATTTAATGTAAACTCTGGAATTGCAAAATTGGAATTTATGACATCAGCACAATATTGACAAATTCTATGTTCAGTTTTTCACTGTGTTTTGCTTTTGTCCTTCTGAGCACACTTTGATTGTCTGGACTATTAATGGTGTGTTTACTCACCCGTTCAGGCTGCTGAGGATAGAGGCCATGCCCATGATCATGTTGGCCATAGATAGAGCATTAGCAGCATTTTTCCGTGCAAACTCCTTGATTTGGAGCCTTGTAGCATGATCGCTCAGGAGGAGCTTGTTGGCATACTGGAAGAAATCTGAGAGCAAACAACAGCAGCAGTTAGTAGCAGTTCTTGTTGAATCAACAACACCCCACTTTGATCAGATGAGCACACCAGCCGACCTTCTCAGTGGGAATAGATTACTGATTTTATCTGAGTCTGAATCAAACCTTAGAGAGGGTTAGGTGCTGTAAATACTTCAGTACCCATTACAATATAAGAATATTACACACCAGTTAATAGGGAAAAAAACATTACTCCCAAACTGATGACCCCGTCTGATGTAAAAGAAGTATGACTTACCAAGCTGTTTGTTTATTGGACGGACATCGACCTTATGATACATTCATCCGTTTTCAGTTCAAAAACACGTGTTACCATAAAATCACGCAGTTCAATTTGCACATCCAGCACCAATCTTTGGTATTGGATGTGCACCAAAGATTGCACATCCAATCTTTGGTGCAATCTCAGCATGTGTTAGAAGATTTTTTTTTTTTCAAACACAATGGCATGCAAGAACATGTTCTAATTTGTAGAAAGGGAAGTATAAGTACATGTTACTGGTCAGCATTTACAAATTAATATATCGGGGACCAAATGCTGGTGTGGGAGACATACTAACAATGTGTGGGGTGTTACTGTGCACACATCTGACGACAGAGAGCTGGACCTACTAAACTGACATATACACAACATGAGATCGATTAGCCTGTTAACACTGACCTAGCAAAAGGATGTGGCAGCAGGGTTCAAATAGCTGACTGATTGTTTAGATCAATTAATAGCTGATGTGTGGACTATTAATGGAGGGAGTGACAGTAGGGTAGGTAAACACAGGACTGTGGAAAAAGGATTCAACTCCATCTGAGGTATTCTACTTTTGTGCTGAAAATCTAACATCTAGTTGTGTTTTATGTTTGGATTTAAGCTACACTGGCAGTACAGACAGAATGCAGTGAACCTAATATTAATTTGTGCCACTTTTTGCTGTAGTACGAAGCAGGACTCCTCGATTTTGGGCCACTTACTGTAAAAAATGTTTATTATTAGGTTGTTTATTATTAGGTCCTTTTAAACTGTTTCTAACAATTGATTTGTGTAGCTTTGTGAACTTTCTCAGACAGCAACTTTGAAGGCCAAAAAACTCTCATCTATTTGAGAAATTCTTAGCATTTTTGATTGAAGTTAAAACTTGAACTGCTTTTCACATGTTACTCTAGAGATTGTTGAACTGAACATTTCAGTTTGTTACATTTTATCTTTAGTCAAAAGCAAATTGAAACACATATTAATGCAGGAACTCAAAAAACCCCTAAAAATGTTACATTCCTAGGTCACAGTCCATATTTTATTTGTTCTCAAAGCAAACAGCAGATTTTTATATGTCATTTTCACACAAAATAAGTCTTTGGAGCCATGTGTCTCTAAGATAGGAAGGGTGCTACGATATATCAATGATGGCATTGAATGTAGAAATGCATATTGTAAATAGAAAACATTTTTGTAAAGAGAAAAAGCATTTTAACTAGAATATTTCTAATGGCTGTGTGGCTGCTTATTGGGAGTACAGAAATAGACTGAGTGAGCACTATTACTTTCTCCAAAAATCCTCGACACATGGTGAGTGAACAACATAAAAATGAGGTGGACAACCCTCTTGTCAGCCTTAAACACTGACTGTCTTCTTAAAACATTTTTTCGCAGGATTATTAAGCTTGTAGGTTAGAGGGATTGAACAATCCAAGGCTGAGGGAATACAAAACAACATTGTTTATGCCACTGCACTGGGTGATGCTTAACTGGACTGAACAGCTTGCAGGTGTTATTTGTGAACAAACAGTTTCATGGACAAGAAGATATGTTGTTTTACTGTGACGTTTCCTTCTTCATTACACTCTTTGGCAGCAAAAAACTTTGACTGACTTAGAAATTAAATGAATAATCCATTTATTTCATGTCATTACTTTTATGTCTCCAAGTTACTGTATTTACAGAACATTTCTCCATATATCCTTTTTCTTAATTGATAAATTGTCAAATTTATCACATAAGGTAAATAAATCTAAATTTCATAAGGTATATATAGCATTACCTTTTGAAACATAATTATGGTACATACATATATTGAAATAAATGTACATACCATAAGCTACAAGCACAACTATAAAGATAAAGTTTTGATTTAAAAAAAATTGATTAATATTCTTTGACTACATTTTCCCTGATAACACTGGCACTGTTAGCATGTGATAGCATACAAAAAGTATGAAAGCCAGAGGAATTGAAAACTTTTTTCCACAGAGTTTTATCTTTAGTTAACGAGCAATGATGCATACAGCTATTAATTTTCAGTATGTATATTTACGATTCGCCATTTACAATTATTGTCAGTAAGATACAAATTTGCTGAGACTGGCTGATTCCAGACAAAAAATGACCATCACAAATATTATGCATATGCTATTCTTTTTTTTTTTTTTTTACATAAATCAAGTAAAAGAATACTCTGTTTTCTCAATTTCCTCTCTTCTAAGCTAACAGTAATCTCTCAAGTCATGGTGCTGATCCAAGAGAGTATGCACAGATATTGACCTGCATTTTTTAAATATTTTTTTTTATTGTTGCAGTAGCAACCCTTCACGAGATTTTCTCCCTGAACTTCCTTTGATTCCAAAGCCAGGCGAATGCATCTGAAAGAAAACAGTGTATGAGACAAAGCCAACACACACACACAGCCAACAACAACTTTCACTTGATAGCATGCTTTTTTCACTATCTCATGTTGGACTTTATCCTAAAGTTACCACTTGGCATGTTAAATAACTGTTTTTATAGGAAAACAGAACAATAGTAGCTGCAGAGAAGAAGTTAATATATTTTATCTTTAAACAAAGTGAATGCCAGCAAAGGTGTATAAAACTCAATGGGCTTTGTTGTGATCACTTGGCTGGATATTAAAAGCAAAAGACAAATCCAGAACCAAACGGTGCCAATTTGAAGCAGGTCTCTATTTCTGGATTCTTGCCTAATTAGTGCAAAGCATGATGGGTAGGCCCTTGTTATGTAATACCCAGCCATGTTACCAGGTAACAGCTAAAGAGAGTGCATGGAAAAACAAGAAAAACTCTCAACTCAGAGTGCACAACCAGAACAAACAGAAATGAACTTACTGAGCTAACTAAACAAACTACGTTTTCTTTATTAAACTGCACTATTGCCATGTCTACGAGTTTCATTAATTAAACATATTATCAAGCAGCTGACAGGCTTAGCTATAAAATATTATACATTACAGTTTGTATGCATCTGTCATCCAACTGTTCTCTGTATATTAATGAATGCAACAAACAGACGAAGTACACAATTGTAATAATCATCCATGACATGGATACTAAATGCATTTAGGACCATATTTATCAAATGCATTATGCAGGTGTATCTTAACAAATTAGTTTATTTATCCCAATAATTCAACAGAAAAACTGAAAATCATATAAATAATTATATATAGTTTGACTGCAAGAAATTCAACATGTTTTTTTCTATAAATTCTGATTATTAAGTAAGAAAACCTCTAAATTCAACTTCTCAGATGATTAGAATATGAATTAATATCAATAGAAAATCTATTTTATACAAAAACGCTGTTACAGTGGCGGATCCCATGATGATGGGGAGGGCTGCTGACTTTACTTACATCCAGGATAAAGTTACTGGCAACCTGTGCAAAGAGGGTAGCTATAAAGGGTCACTGCTAAAGAATCAGGTTATTTAGCCACAAGCAGAATTATTTTACTGTGCAGTGGTTCTGATTAGGAGTTGAGATGAGAATAAAGTACATACCAGAGGAAGGGGTCAGGAGGATCATGGTTCACAATTCAGCAGCTGAAAGAAAAACAAAGTTCCAGTTATTGTTGTGCAGTTGTAAACATTTGTGCTTATTAAATTTAAACAATATTTAGTTTCAAATGGATAAATAGGTATACTTTTGGAGAAATGTCATTGCATGACATATTGCATGAGATATGTCATTGCATGACATATCCCCAAATCTGCAATGACATATCTGTTTGAAACTTTTTTTTAGAAAAAATGCTTCTAATGACAATCACCCGTAGCGTAGTAACTGCTTGATGAAAAACATCACATTATCCTAGGTGCAAAATACTCTATTTTTTGAAAGAAAAAAAAAACTCTGTTTTTTAAAATTCCAAACAGTAAAATAAAAACTTCCGCTTTGCTGGAGGCTGTAACGCGCACCGTGCACTAGACCTCCATCAGCAGCGGAGAAAAATTTCATTCCAACACCATCGTTAAGAATCCTGTCAAACTGCGCTCATATGAGACGTGAGAAAACAGTTCTAGTTTATTTAAAAAAAAAAAAAAAAAAAAAGTTTGTTTGTTTTTTATCTTACCCGAAAGGAGCTCCACAGTTTTCTTAGTTTACTTTAATCAAATGACGGAGGCGTGAAAAATGTGCGCACACTTCATGCCAAAATTTATTGTAGGCTACTTAATTTATTTCTTCTTCCCTTCTTTTTGCAATGCAAAGTACCTACCGCTTAATATTATTCTGTTTTCTGTGTCAATATCGTTAAATAAACGAATGAACGCACTGAGCAGACCACCTGCCTGTGTGCTTGGTGACCGCTGTTTAAGCGCGTCCTTTTAAAGTAGCAGCAGTGACAAATCCGCTGGAATATTCCAAGCGGAAATGACGTAGATCCCCCTCCTCCCCACTTGTTTTTCCCCCCCCAAAGCTGGTGAGGTTAGTGTGAGTTACAAAACCTGGGTATTCAGGCAGTCAGATATACCCAGACTGAGTAGAAAGAAACATTTGTTTTTTCTGCTGTCTGACATTGAATCAGATTAATGATCATTTAACTCTATGCAGTGAAAGTTAGTGACAAACTATTAATTAGCACTTTTGTTAGCTATTATTGTATTAACTCAGAAGAACATACACTGACTGTATAACCTCGGTTTATGAATATATTTAATGTTTGAAAGCATTAGAAAAAAAGTTGATCTTATAGTTGAACTTCTGCTCAGAATCACAAATATTACAGTTTGTCATCCAGTGTAGTATTTTCTAGAAACAATGAACGTTTTCAATACAGAATGCAACAAAGTTGAATCGTCGGTCCCACAAGTCAGTGTTACATTCTTCTACTCTATCTGATCATATTTTTATGATCAGATAGAGTCATGTTTGTAAAACGAGTAAATGGACACAATTTACAAAAAGTACATTTCCAAAATCACATATGCAAGAGATTGATAATGCAACAAAAACAGGGACTTTGTTTCACCTGTAAGCATTAGCTGCTGACGCATTTATTCAAAGCAATTTGGTGGGAAAACAAAGCAAAAATAGTCTTAATATTAATCTACTTCTTATCAGACTTTACATTAACTTGATTCCATTTTAAAAACTTTTTAAAATTTTTCTTTTATGAAAAAAAACAATCAAATCTGGATTTAATTGTTCATTATAAAAATGAGTTTTTTCAGCAATTGATAAACCAAAAATATATAGTTTATTTCTTCAATGTTTTACTGTTTTTACAGCTTTTGCAAAAAGTCATGATCAATAAAATTTGGCTTTTTGACAAATTTACTATACAAAAAAAAACCTTTCGTTAAACTAAATATAGATTTTCACAAAATGATAATTAAAGAAAATATATTTCATCAATAGCTACCCCTCTTAATCTAGTACTTAGAAGAAATATGGTAGTTTGAAAAAAGAGTTGCAAACTCTGTTGCAAATCCTGTAATGAAACATAACATTGCAGGAAACTCCTTTCTGATGCCTTCCATAACATATAGCTTCACTCCAACTAAAATAATCTCAAGAGAAAAGGGAATGAAAATGGCAACTTGTGATATTTCTCAGACCATGAATAGAAAGCAGTTTTGGTGATGAGTCAGATTTTTCAGTTTGACAATACTTACTATTGGCATGCTGCAGAATCCACTCAGTCAATTACTAGCCTAATGCTGCTTCAATAGTTTCAAAATGTAGAGGCTTTTAGGCTCAAATGTAAACACATTGAGGTTGAATGAGTGAAAGCCAGAGTCAGTTTTGTTCTGAAGTTTCCATTATTCATTCTGTTCCAGAAAAATTATTTTGGTCTTTCAATAATTTGCCTGAACCATTTTTTTTCTTTTTATTGAGCCTGTGCTGTTCAGAAAACGCATAGCTTCTGTAAGTTTCAAAATAGTTTGTACTAATCTGATTAATGGTTGTATTTCATACATGATCCAAGTTAATCATAGTAACCTCCATAAACTTTTTAATTACTTTTAATTACCGGTAGCTTTTTCATTCCTGGCTTTGGTAAACGTGCTGATTAAACTGTAGGACTTGGGTTAAATATTTTGTGTATCACTCTACAAGGCTCCCACAACAGTTTACTGGAATTCTGCTGGATTCCTCTGGAGAACTGGTGTAGCTATTCAGGTTCACAGGCTATCACATTCACACACACACACACACCCACCCACCCACACACACACACACACACACACACACACACACACACACACACACACACACACACACACGCACACATGCATTTTCAGCTCTATCCACAATTTTTTCCCATGATGTCACTCAAATAAATTGTGTTTTTCAAGTTTAGCTAAGATGTTGTGAATTAATCAAAATCTTATAAAATCATCATGAAAGAAGAAGGTTTGGGTTAGGATCAACCCTTTCATACTGAACTCAGGGCTGCTCTGTAATCTCTCATTTTTCCAGTTAGAAACCCAAATAATCACGATTGCTACTCCAAAAATATATTTACTGTATTATAGTAGATATTTAGGAATATTAAGCAATACCCTAAATTAAGTCCGGAAACCTCGTCTCTGTTGCAACAGACGTATGAAAAGAATCTGATATATTTGTGTCTTCTTGATAATCCTCTTTTGGAGAAAAGAATCTGCATGTGAATCCATAGTTTAGTTTTGCAAGAAATACATAGCGTGGTACAATTCTTAGATGCAGGTGGAATTTCACTGGGACTTTAGAATCTTTTGCTGCCAGTGAACTGCGGCTGTTACCTAATCTGGTCACTTCTAACACAGCAGAAACAAGTACAAGTTTTATCAGCACCATGAATGGCTTCTTTTACAGTGTTTTCTTAGTGCTGATCAGCAAACTATGTTTTTTTGTCTCCTTTACAGATTCATTGCTTCCCCTGATGGCTGTCACTGTCAGTGTTAGGCCTTTTAGAAGAATTTGATGCGTTTCAGCAGTTAGAAATAGGGTGAATTACATTGGGTTTTCCTTTGAACATCAGAGCAAAAGGTCTAAATACAAATGGAGGCAACACTTTTCAGATGTTCCTTTGTGATTTTTTTTTTACTATGTATTGTGCAGACAAAAAGCCAACAAAACCCAGAATTATGTACTGCATGCTGAGGAAGATAATGGTGACGCTGAAGCTCAGAAACAGGTGAAAACGGAAATGAAATGAAAAGATAAATCAGGCCACCTAAATAAATCAATAACTAATTAAATAAACCAAACAGACACACAGCAGTTGCTGAAATTGAGATATCAGCAAAAACTTCTTTAGTCATGGCAGTCAATTTAGTAGAACAAGAAGGTTGTATTTTAATTTTGGCTTATGTTAGTTTACAAACTATTAAATGTACATTTCCTTACACTTGATACCCTTGTATCAACTCCTGCTCTTATGACCACATAGAGGTTGATAAAGTAATTTTTCTCCCACATAACACAAAACAATAAAAGTAGGACAACAGAAACCAAAACAAATATATGTTGACATATCGGAAATTGTCTTGATTTTTCTCATGATCTCGTTTTGAAAAGCAGCTTCAGGTGAGCAGGGTGCTCATGGAAATTTAGCCTCTATGTAGCCCTGTCTAAAAATCATTCTGTGACAGACAGACAGTGAAAAGCTCCATGTCTCCAGCTCGGATTTCATGTAGCCAATTACAATGAACAGTGAGGTCAATGTGCTGATAGGCTCTCTAATCTTGTTATGTAACTGCAGTGTACAGACAACACAGCTAGTGTGTATTGTTCAATTTGCTTTCAGAGTGAATTAATATTTTTTTTTTCAAGTGACGAACTATTTTTATATTATTTTTAAAGATTGTTGTAACTTTTAAGATAGATAAACATGACAAGGAGCCGGTAAAACAATTTCAAATAATCATTAAAAGAAAGACAGGATTACAAACAGGAAAGCCCATAAACACACCAACATTAGTAAAACCCTACTTTGTTAGCTGAACAGTTATGTTCAGCCTACAAAGTTACAATGTTACACTAAAATGGCGTATTTAGGTCAAAACTCAAGAAAGGATTGGTGTCACTATTTGGAGTAGTCTGCATTCAGTTTAACTGAGGAACATCTAAAACAATTTAGGAAAACAATATTTGTAAAGATCAAAGAGGATATTTGCTTAAATTGATTCAGAAAATTAAATAAGAAACTCTTAAACAAATCTGGACTATAATGCAAAAGACAGCAATGTGGCGTGAAAAAAGAAATCCCAAGATGACAAAGAGAACATGAGTTTTGTTTTTATTTAGGAAACAAAGTGAACGGGAGAATCTTTCCAACATGGGTAATGAAAAAGTCAGATCTTAATGACATCAAAATTATATTCCAGTATTTTCATTAAGTTAATTCCCAAATTGTGTTCAAAAGTAAAAAATACCCTTTTTTCATGGAACCAACATAAAAATTTCAGTCATTACTTAAAGTGGACTTTTCAACATAATAGAGGTAAAAACAAAAATTCTAAACCAATAAACAGCAACTGTTTCTAGACAACTTTGTATTAATTGATATCATATATGTAACAATCCAGTTTAAGGTCAGATACCCAAAATGCAGGCAACAACCACGGCTGGACCATAGCTCCTGCTCATTCATGATAACACCAATCTCATGCATTCATGCACTAGATGCCTAAGACTTATTGTTTCAAAGAATAAGACCAGTTTTAATCCACTGTGACAGGGAAGCTCCAGTCTAGCACTTTGTGTGGGCAATTTGAGAGGAATTTGTAGAGTGGGGGAACGACAATAGAATATTGGAGACAATAGGCAAGAACTCCAGATATTAAAAAGCTAATCAACAACAAAAGCGTTGGAAAAACAGGCAAGAAAGCAGAACAAAATGAATGAAATAAATAAAATGAAACGATGCTCATTTTAGGATTATCAAAACAAATATTTTCGGCTAACAGTAAGAAAAAAATCCAAACCCCCAAATAATTGTGTGATTGTGGTTTGCCATGTGAGTGAAAGGAAGCGTGGGAGCATGCTTATCGGAGCTACACTACAGATCACAGCACGCTGCAGGAGGTTTCTTCTGACTGAACATGAATAGATGAATCTATCTCTGCAGAGTAAACAGCCCACAGTGCCAACAGAGGTTTTTACCTTCCCATGTTGAATTTAAAGTTACCAAACCTGACATTAGGGTTAAAAACCTGAGGCAGGCCGTTCTGGGTTGACCCTCCTGAGGATGTGGATACAGACACATAAACACTACTGTCTTAAAATGGAGTGACCTGCTGCAAACAGATAAAGTTAAAACATACTTGAGCAACATATTTTCTTTGAATACAAGCACTTCCTCAACTGACATTGTTATCTA